CATCCTCCGAATAACTTGCAGATAGAACCTTCTCAGAATTTTTTCAATTTAGTAGTCTGGCATAGTTCATTATTTTATTGCTTAAATTCTTGTCTAGTGTTTGCATAAATGATCATCCTGCAAAAGATTTTGAATTCCAAATTATGAATATAATCCTTAGATTTCAATATTTTCCTATCGAAAGCTTATGTCGAATTAGTATTGCTCCTTCTCGGAAAATCTCCTTACAGCAATCTTCAAGTGCAGTTTTCATCCACCGCGAAGAATCTGCTTTGTAGCATCTAAAAGATCTTGACAAGAACTAGAAGAAGTATAGACGTAAGAACCGTTATGAAAACCTTTTTTTTATAGGATACCAGGAAAAGACTTCTGAATATTTATCTGTGGAAAGAACATTCTCGAAAGTTTTACCGAATTCCCTTCAAAGACGAACGTCTCCTTCATAGTTCTTTTCTCCGCGAAAGAGGAAGATCTCTTCAATAACGCTGATTCCTTTTCTTTTTCGTTCATTGTAGGAATTCCTAATATCTCAGCGAATGCTCTATGGACACAGAATGGAATGACCGTTGCTGGAGGCCATGGACATGGCAATGCTACCAATCAACTCGACAATCCTCTTGGTCTCTTCATTGATGATAATCAAACGATGATCATCGCTGACATGTGGCATGGTCGTATCGTCCAATGGAAGACAGGTGACACGAATGGACAAGTAGTAGCTGGTGGCAATGGTGAAGGATATCGACTGGATCAATTGAATGATACAACCGATGTGTTGCTCGACAAAGCGATGGATAGTCTCATTGTTTGCGATAAAGGGAATCGACGAGTCGTACGATGGTCTCGTCGTAGTGGTACAACTCAAGGAGAAATCTTCCTCGACAAGATCGATTGTTATGGATTGACCATGGATGATCAGAGATATCTCTACATCTCTGACGATGTAAAATATGAAGTAAGACGATATCAAACAGCAGACAAGAATGGAACTATTGTGGCTGGTGGCAATGGTAGAGGTACTGATCTCAATCAACTAAACAAGCCAAGATACATCTTTGTCAATCAACAACAGACTGTCTACGTGTCAGACCGTGGCAATAATCGTGTGATGAAATGGAATAAAGGTGCAAAAGAAGGGATTGTCGTCGCTGGAGGTCAAGGGGAAGGGAATGCACTGGCACAATTGTGGAATCCTGAGGGACTATTCGTCGATACGTTGGATACCCTCTATGTGGTAGACTCGTACAATCATCGAGTGATGCGTTGGCCTACAGGAGCGAAACAAGGCACTGTCATTGTTGGTGGAAATGGTCATGGAGGAGGAGCAAATCAGTTGGAGTATCCCACAGGTTTGACCTTCGATCAACATGGCAATCTCTATGTCGCCGATATGTTCAACCATCGTGTTCAACGTTTTTCTATTGAATAAACTCATTACGATGGATGTTTTTTTCTTTCCTTTCTCTCAAATAAATCACGTTGAATTGATGAAAGGAATGGCTATTCTATTCGCACATGCGACCAGAAACCATCCTGGTGGAGTTGTGGCGAGCGTAGCGCTCATGTACGTACGAGACAAACTCAAATAATTCACATCCCTCCTGTCAATGAGGCTGGAAAAAGCTCGACCGTGTGCCGCGGACACCAAGATAGTTCCTAGCCGAATTTTTAGGGCCTACTTGGAAGGCCTATCAATAACAGGGATCAAACCTTGATGGACATGACTCATCTGCCCTTCCACTAACACTCATTTTGCTTAGTCTCACTCTAACACCAATCAATCTCAATGTCATTATCTATTCTCATCCCCTCCCTATTCTGATCTTAAAAACAACCAATTACTCACCGTGTTTGATGTTGGACGATGTTAATGTTGTTGTTGATAAAGATGCGAAGATACTGCAGGCTACAAGAAAAAGAAAAATTAATTGATGCTATATAATGAAACCGAATGAAATAACGTACTCCGCTATTGTATTTTTGTTCACTTCTCAATATCTGAACTAGAAAAAAGACATACATTAAAAAGATCAAAAGAGGACTTACGGCTATCCTTATGATCTGAAAGAAAGAAAATTTAAAACGGATACCTACATTTTTATTTATTGATTTATTTTGATTTGCTTGATTGTATCATTTATATCGACCTAAAACATAAAACAAAATTACTATTATATAATTCAAAAACTTGAATGATTTCTTTGAAGGAAATCATTTATATTTCTACTCCATGATGGATTAGGAGACAAATTACTTTTTTTTTCTCTTCATTGAAAAGTAATTAATAGATGAATCTCATTAAGCTATAATCGGGACACACACATACATTGAGATATACGTATTCAATCACAAACATCTTAATGCATATGTATGGATAAAGCTTAATTGATATACACATTAGTTATGAAATGTTATCA